TCACATTTTTATACCAATTAATTAGATTATGGTACAGGATCAATCAAAGTGTGTTGTCAGGAAAAGATTAATTACTTCCTTTTTGTGAATTAATTAGTAGTGTATTAGAGTGCTAAGCAAACCAAATCTAGTGAAATAAAAATGAATGTTAAACAGATATGCTAACCTGAGAAATACTTTAGCAGATTTATCAATTTTAAGTAAATGACAAAGTATATTCCTCTTTATTTTAAATATAGAACTTCTTTAGCTTTAAATGTTCTTGGGACTTTTGTTTTTACCACAAAAATGAGTATGTTATAATAAAGAAAGAAAAAAACATTAACAAATAATTTTAAAATTTGATGAAAAATTTCATGCATTTTGTTTCTTTAGGCTCAAATACAAGACTGTGACATAATTATAACATTCTCAGATAGAGGGACTTCCTGTGTGAAATTACTATATCCAATGAAAAGGGTTTTTTAAATTTGTTTTTCTTAGTTGTTGACAGATCTTTATTTATTAATACGTGGTTCTGAGAATCGAACCAGTGTCTCACACATGCCAGGCAAGTGTGCTACTTCTGAGCTACAGTCCCAACCCAATGAAGAGGTTAGTAAAAATGAAGGTGACATAACTTTCAGTTGAAGAAAATTGAAACACTGATTAATCAAAGTCCCTGTCCCACTCACTTTTAGAGAATTTTTTCAGAAATGAAATGATTTGTCGCTGGTAAACTGAAGACAGATTTGAGGCTCTTCAGAAACTTCCCATCTATATCATCATTTCACTTCCTAAGAAGTATGGATATTATTTATGATCAGTCAAATTACAACATGGCAGTAGCTCAGTAGAAATCAGTACTTACCCTTTTCTCTCCGATTTATCCATAGTGAAAAAGTAGTAATATATTCTTAATTTAAGGGGAAAAAATCACAAACACTGGCTTCATATGCATGAGGTATTCATAAATCTCTGATGTTTAATGTGGTAGACATTTGTAAATACTTCTATGAGTCTCAGAACTAATTCTGAATTGTAATTCCAGAACAAAGTTTTACAAAATAAAGTTGGAAAACACTTTAAAATCTTCTCTTCTCAAATTATATTTTAACATAGACATGAACATAGAGCCATATATAGTTTATTATATTTAGAATAGTCTACTAAGGATTACAGGGTCCTCACAACTCTAGATTAATACTATACTGAACATCTAAAATTTCCAAAATATAGTTATGCCCTATTCTTTATGAGAACTATACACTGTGTTTCCACGAATATGTCTCCAGAAAGTCTTTGAAATCCAGATACTACTTGTTACAGTACGCACAATAAACCTAAAACAACCACTAGTGTTATTTTGGGGGTAGGTTTCTGTTTGGTTTTATTTTTACCAAATTAGCTAACTTCAAAGACTATGGTCCATTTTAAATGGTATACATAATTTGTTGGGGCTACTGTAGGAGGAATTTCCTGGAATATGAGACTGCTATCCTAAGAAGACAAAATTGCATAGAATATCACAAAGTAAGGAAATTGCAGTTGTGAAATTTAAAAATTCACAAAGCCTTCAAATGGAGTGATATGTTTTTATTAAGTTTGTCTCCTGAAAAATTAAAAATTGCATTGAGCTTTCTTATTTCTCATTTATCTAAAAAGGAAATTTAGTATTCTGAGCAAAAGACTTTACAGAATGCATTGTGATAATTTCTTCATCTCATCTGCAATTCTTATCAAGCAGGGAACTATATTTTTAACATAGTATTAATAAATCCCTCTAGCAAAAATTTTTTGGGAAAATCTTATTCATGAAAGTTCTATTTCGATCTGTTTTTGTGAACCTAAAAGGGATTTCAGAATTATATTCTATTTTGGGAAATTCATTAGTTGGAAAGAAAGCAGATTGAGGATGTAATGAATTTCAAAATATGAGATGGGAACTGCATAAATTAATTCCATTGCTTTAGGACAACATTTACTTCCTCTAACAGTTTACATTTTTATTTGTGGTGCTATTGAGTAACACTGCACAGTTTACTGACATCTGCTCTATGTCACAAAGCTCATTATTGTGTACTATTTCAGAGCTTTAGACTTTCTTTTGGAAGATTCATGAGTATTAGCCTAAAGAAGTTACTTTGCTTTGGTGAATTCTGCATCAGTTATTTTCTTTCTTTTTAATCAAAACATAATACATACATACATACATACATACATACATACCACGTATACTATGTTACAAATCTCACTAGCATGCTATATTTAAAAACATAATTTCACTTCAAGGTAAATATTGTACCTCTTGTGCTTAAAATACTATTATGCCTCTGTGCTTAAAATGCTAGAATTCTTCTCATCCAAAAAATGGAACACCTAACCAAACATTATCATGAAACATGATTTATAGGGAGGTTTCAGGTTTGGTAGGAAAGTAGGTTGTTAATATCATTCATGGTAAAAGTAACCTTTTAACATTGACTTAGTATTGTTAACCTTTTGCAGAAACAAATTCAGTTTTAAATATTTCTATACTTCGTATAAACTTATTAAAATAACTGTTAAAATGTAGTATTTGTCTTACTGATGTTATAGCTTATGGCCAGTTCCATTTAAAAAATAGAGCTTATTTATCATAGTTCTTTATTAACTTGTAATTTACAATTGCTTCATCCTCTGGAGTAAATATCAATAAAAGAACTCACACTCAAAATAATTGTGTCAATATGATTAGAGCAGAGAAATATTTAGTCACTAGAAGAAACAAGCCTCAAAAAAATAAAAATAAAAAACCCTGTATATATGTCAGCTAATACATTGTTGATGATACTTACATGATTAATTAAAAATAAAATCAATTCCTGTAAAGAATACTGAATTTAAATAATTTAAACAACTTTTAATACTAGATATAATTTGGTTCAACAAAGGTATTTTGAATTTCACATGTCTTATAATTTTAATGTATACTTATTTTCATATTACTATCAAATATATTCTAATTTGGTCTCATTTAATTTTAAAATTTATTTCAGGGTTAGAACCATGGATGTTTACTCTGAGTTATTCTTTAAATGTTGCTGTGCAATTCTATATCAAAGTGTCTTTGTAACATAGGTTATATGAAAAGGAATTAATTATTTCTAGTTTACAAAAATAATTATTCTCTCTATTCTTATCCATTAACATGGTCTGATAGGTCAGTAATTAAAATGGTAATTTATGAAGGGGAGAAATCAAGGACACCTATGCTTAATGCATATTTGTTACTTATAACCATGTTCTTATTAGAGATTGGCTTTGAGTTATTATAGTAGTAAATTATATAATCACAGCTCTGTATTTCTAAAAAAAGTTATTATGCTGTATTGTACAATGTAAATGAGGTAAACTGATGATGCATGTTACAGTCAATTTGTAATCCTTGAAATTAATGTTGATTGCCAGGCGCAGTGGCGTGCGCCTGTAATCCCAGTGGCTCAGGAGGCTGAGACAGGAGGATTGAGAGTTCAAAGCCAGTCTCAGCAAAAGAAGGAGCTAAGCAACTCAGTGGGGCCCAATCTCTAAATAAAATAAAAATAGGGCTGGGGATGTGGCTCAGTGGCTGAGTTCCCCTGAATTCGATCCCCAGTACTCCCCAAAAAGAAAATTAATACTAATCATTTATTCTAAGTATAAAATTTAAAATGGAGATAGTAGTAGATGTTTAGAACTTTTTGGTCTGAGTTTCTCAAATTTATCTAGTACTTTTATATTGTAAACACCTTTAGTATCCCACATCTACACTTGCAAAGAAAAAAAAAAGTTGATGCTAATTTATCATTCATTCTGTATGTTTAGTTTTAGGTTATACCTTGATGTTTAATCAATTTATTTCTCTTACAATGATAAGGAAGCCATTTTGTTCTAAAATCTGCATGTTTTATTTAAATTTATATAATCCATAATGCTTAATATAACCTTTTAATATTTTTAAATTATATTTCTTATTTGATATGATTATCTGGTTACTTGGTCCATTTCTTCATATTCTTCGTGATTTTATACCTGCCATTCTTCTCTATCACATATATGGTATGCTCCTTATTCTATACCAATTTTTTTATACTTTTATTTCATTTATATATTTTTATGTGGTGCTAAGGATCAACCCCAGTACCTCACACATGCAATAGGAGCACTCTACCACTGAGCCACAACCCCAGCCCTCCATACTCAATTTTATGTGCATAATTAATATCTGGGACAGATTATAATTTTTTGGAATTTTAATAATCTTCAAAGACATGTATACTTTATCAATTTTTATTTCTTCAAATTATAAGGCAGAAGAATGCTCATTATATGTTTATGATAATTAATACAATGAAATTTTTAATGTCAAATTCATGATCCTTTTTAAGAATTCAAGATCTTTGGAATTTGTAAAACTTAGCTTTTGTACCTTTTGTCTGGAGACCAAATCTGAACAGTATGTGATTGTAGTCCATTTTTTAAATAAGTGAATGAAAGAAAATAAAATGTTTGATTATATATGTGTATACATAAATGGAAAATCCCACCTATGTCCAAATAAAGTATTATGCATTTCATGATAAATTTCATTTAGAATAGCTATGTTAACACTTTTTGAATAGTATCACTTCCTGCCTTTAAGTTATCTACCTAATTTTTTATGTTTACTTTTAAGAATGTTATTATTCATAGTAACATAATAAACTGTTCTATACTATTACAGCCATGACAGTTTGACTTGTTTCTTTATTGGTTCTTTTTAGTTACACATGAAAGTAGAATGCATTTTGACATAATTATACAAGCATAGAATGTATCCTTGCTTTACATAGGATCCATTCTTATTGATATACAAGATGATGAGATTCACTATGGTGTACTAATATATGTACACAGTAAAATTATGTCAGATTCATTGCACTGTCTTTCCTTTTTTTATCTCCCCTCCCTTTCAAATACAGTAAACCCTTTCATATTGAGAGACTGGCAAAGTGATTACTTACTAGATTCAGGATCAGAGTTGCCATCTCCTTCAGTACGGTTGTTGGGTGCAGCATGATCAAAGTACTCCTCCTGAGGATAGCCAAGGGGCAGAGCATGGGATGTGCTGGGAAGGCTGCCTGCATCATGATCTCCCAGTCCACCATCACTGTTGCTTTCCTGAGAGCCTTCTGGTAGGTGAAATGTGACACGTCGCTGGGACTGAAAAATAGAAAGAAAATTATAGGGTTTCAGCAATGATCCAAATAATTGCTTAATGCACCCAATTTAGAAAATGTATTATTCAGCTATCTAGTGTAGCCATATTAACATTATCCTGGGTTACAAACAATTTCAGGCTTTTGTGAAGAGGCAGATCTGTGTTCAAACCTGCTTTACCAGGCAGTAGAGTTGCTTCTATTGTGTATCTACCCAGGGCATATCCAAATTCAGAATGTCAACTTGTTGTGCCCAAATACCTATAAAACCTGACACTATCAGGTTTTATAGGTATTTGGGCACATAGGAAATCCTGATCATCATTGAAATGTACATTTATTTTGCTATCACTTGGCAATAATTAATTTTTTAAGATAATAAACATAAATAAATATTAAAAATATTGCTTTATCTGTAAGATTCTGGTAAACCAAAACAGTAAATCAAATTTACTTAAATCAAATTTACTTAATCCTGCAGGCTTAAAAATTAAAAGTACAAATCATATTTTAGAATAATCTTAGGGAAGATATTTGATTAGAATTCATTTAAATTGATTTTACTCTTAAAAAACACAAATAATAGTCACATGGTATGGATAACAATTTTAACAGTTGATGGGAACTATAAAAACAAGCTATATATATATATGTGTGTGGGTGTGTGTGCGCGCGTGCATATATAAATATATATATATATATACACACACATATATATGATGGTAATAATAGCAGAATATAAAATATAAAGTTAAAGCATTTATTTCAAAAATAAGAGGATTATGATACCTAAGAAAGGTGATACCGGCACCAGATGAAGCAGCATTTGCATTTCAATATTGCTACACACAGTAGTCTCTGAAGACAATCTTCCTAATGAACCTTACCTCTTGCTATTCAGACCAGTATATAGTTTCCACCCATTGAATCTAGACAGGCCTGTGCAATCAAACCTTACAGTTTTTGCCTTCCTTTCTTTGGACTACTCACTATGGGGAAGACAAGTTACATTGAAAGATGTCTGTCTACTGGGAGACAGCCATACTCTGAGGAATCTCAACCAGCCATGTAGAATGAGCATATAAGAAGAAATTACACTGCCCAGAGAGGCCCAGCTGTTCTAGCCACACCAGCACAGGTGTCATATGTGTATTTGAAGAATTTGTTTTAGACTTCCTGCTGATAACCTCATTGGAGCCACCTTTAAAATTTGGACCAACTTATTCAAGGTACCAGTCATTCTGGAGCAAAGATAGTCATTTCTGGTATTCATTGCCCATATTCCTAACCTAAAAAAATTGAGAAACTTATTTGTTTCTATGTTCCCCCCAAAATAGGCATGATTTGTGATGTAGCAGATAAACCAAAACACTAAACTATTAGAAGCATGAAATATATCAATTAGAAACAATTATTTATATACATCAAAAGTCACATGAATTTAGGTACTAGACATTCATCTGTCAGAATGAAAATGCTTTCAAACATTCAGGTTAGACATTGAGAGATTCTTTCCAATGGACATATGAAAATATTTGTTTTCATTTTTCAGTATAATAATATATAATAAACTTTATGGATATATATAATATTTAAGAAGCAAATTTGAGTGTGCCTTTATTCATAGTCATTATCTATATGTTAAATTTTCAAAAAATATGAAGAAATTACTAATATATATGTAATATATAATATATGGAATATGTTTACAATCATAGAATCATTCTTTCTAATGAGAGTCTGCTTATTTTATATTTGTAAAAATATAAATTTATACTGATGTTTATTCAAATATCATAATAATTTTGTAAGGAGTGGATGGTGATGTTGAGGTAATACTTAGAAGAATTAGTCATGCAGAAAATCATCTAAATAATAGAAAATCCTGTTGAAACAGTTATACTAAGAAATTCAGAAGGCAGTTTTTTTTGGTTTTGAATTGTTTTATTATGTTTTTGGTGTATGTGTTATATCACAAGGAAGCCATGGAGAGTGACACTGAATGTGTTATGTGGTTAAACTACAGTGAACCTTCTAGGATTTAAAACATTGCTCAGGCCAGGCGCAGTAGTGCACACCTATAATCCCAGTGGCTCAGGAAGCTGAAACAGGAGGATTGAGAATTCAAAGCCAGCCTCAGCAAAAGCAAGGTTCTAAGCAACTCAGTGAGACCCTATTTCTAATAAAATACAAAATAGGGCTGGGGTGGGGATATGACTCAGTGGTTGAGTGCCCCTGAGTTCAATTCCTAGTACAAAACAAACAAAATCAAAACAAAAAACATTGCTTAGGAAAATTATAGGGCTGAAATCACTTTCTGTGCTTTTGGTTGCTCAATATCCTTCTTTCTATTAATCTTTGTATATAAAAACAGATGTTGAAAAGAGGAAAATAAAAGTTTTATGTATTTTATAATCATGTTTATAATAAAGCCATAATATGAATGGCACACTGATTTTTGATGTTTACATCTATCAGTCAGGTAACCATTGAGTCATGTTAGAGAGCTTTGAGATACATGAATTCCTTTGCCTGTCAGTTACCCTATTGATTATTAGTACTAAAGATATTTAGTAGCATGGGCAACAAAATAAGAACCCATGCTGTATTATTCTTTCAAAGCAACAGTTTCATACAAGTTTAGAAAAAGCTTAGCTTCTTACAGTGTAAAGTTTAAAAGCACTAAACAAGCTCTTGGGACCATAGTTTGCAGACCCCTAATCAACAAGGCTAATTTTGTCAATCCAGCACAGCTAGTTTTGATTGTTCTCTCTCCATAAGCCAGAAACTTATTTAGATTTAGGCTGTCATTTAATTCCCCAAATTATTTGATTGTTAACATGTTTTCAGCTACCTCAAGATTTATATATAAAATTTTAAAAAATTAAGAACCAGGAAAATAGCAACTGTTAAAAATGCCTGAAAAAATTATTGTTTAGAAATGAATCTACAATTATCTATTGTATGTAAAGTCAAAAATAATACTTAACATATAAAGAAAAAATATATGTTAAATAAACCAGTTTGGCACGAGACTAATTTATAATTGCTTTCACAACAAGAAGTAACTGTTCAGGGATATTTTAATTTTCTGTTAAGTCTCAAGTAATATATTTCAGTATGTATATTCTGGACACATAATATGTTATATGTCTAACATGTGTCTGTATGTGTGCACACTACTTTTTATCATTTATAGCATTTAAAAACATTAGATCTAGAAAATAGAATATATAAATAAGAAAACACTAGTGACAAAAAATGAATCTGAAATTTAAGATGTGCTGCTTAAACATTCATATATCTAAACAATTGATATTCCCAGTGGATAGCAAGTATGTTTGGGCCAAATAATTGAAGTAGAGAAGTACATGTTACTTTTTGATGTAAAGGAAATGGAGTTTTCTGTTCACTTGTTTATCTACACAGAAAATAGCAAGGCAATTTAAGTAAAATGATAACCTATCCCAGGACAACTGTGCTAGTTACTTACTAAAAGCCATTGCAAAGGAATGCCCTGGAATGAACCTATAATTAGTTTGGCTGTGTACTCACCTCCAACCCTTTTGACACTCATAAATTGAATTCCATTAGGGACAGATAAAAGAAAATGAGCAGGTTTGTGAGGACCCCTTTTAGTGAACATAGCTCACTGTTTTTTTATCCTTTCCTAAAGGCACATAAAGACACGACCAGTACAACCATGACTTCATTCTTAAAATGTAGTTTGTCCATTTGACATTTTCCCATATACATTTTTAGCTGTATTTTTTTAAATTTATTTTTATGTGGTGCTTAGAATCTAACCCAGTGCCTCACACTCTACCACTGTGCTAGAACCTCAACCCCTCCCATATACATTTGGAGGGTTTGAATACAGCACAGACATATTAATAAGACTTCTTGCTTATGTTAACTTTAACAATTATTAGGAGACTCACTGTGCATCATGGTGCATTGTCCACTCATGTTATTTATGACAAAATGATCTAATATTCAACCATATATTGGGGATTTGATTTTTTTGGTCTGTTATACTGTTTTATCTATTTCTATAATCTGTAGAAGGCAAGCAAATATAATCAATTAAATGTGATTTTATTATTCAATGAATCCACAAAAAAGCTCTATATTTGTATTTGTGTGACTAATTATGTTGTCCACTTCTTTATAAAAATCTCCATGAAATATTGTCTTAATTGGAACTACTAGACATTAATTTTTGAAAAATTGTTTAAAGGCTTCTGAAACTTGACTTTTGATGAGATAAGAACATTGAGCTCTTTTTCCCATCATTGCTATAATTATTCCTATTTTATATTGCATTTTATAATTTGTGACATTTCTGGAAAGAAATGAACATAAAATAATTGCATGAACTTTAGTAAATTATGAATCCTCTATAGCAAATTTTGGAAACTTTATTTAACTCATTTGACTTTTAGTTTTTCATGGATGATTGTAATGCATTCCACTATTATCATGTATGTAAGAAATAAAAAAAGAACTAATAAAAAAAAGAAAACTTCATGTCTGGTATTATTTTCTGCACAGATTCATAAAACAGGGGTATTCAAAACACAAATATATTCATCTTATTTAATATGTACACACACACACACATATATATATATATATATATATATATATATATAAACTATTTCATGAAAATTATTCCTTATGACTTACTGAGAAAAAAAATAATCATTTATGTGTTGAAGATGATCACTGTGCAGTATAAACAGGCTATTATGTTAATGATCATGTCATAATTTGTCTGTCTAAAGCCATTCAAGGAAGCTGTGGCATACAAATTAAAACAAATTTACTGTCTATAATGGTGACTTTATGGGATGAAAATAAATCATGAATAACTGTCTTCCCTATATGGTTAGTTGTTTTCTGCCAGTAACAGAGAAATCACACATGATGCTTCCCTTTAAAATCTATACACCTCATTTTTAGCTCAAATTAATCAAAATTTCAGGATATGAATACTCATAA